ATCATCCGGATCCTGGTCCAGAAGCTCCGGTGTCCCGACGTGGGCGGGAACGACCAATCACAGTACAAGTACGGAGCTAAACCGGGAAAAATGGCATTTGGGAAAAACAGGGTTGATCCCTTGATGATCAAAGTGGAAGCTCCTTTAGCAACTTTAGCTAATTTAAGATCCTTTGGCTCCTTTAGCCCCTTTAGCTAATTTAAGGTCCTTTGGCTCCTTTAGCCCCTTTAGCTAATTTAAGATCATTTGGCTCCTTTAGTCCCTTTAGCTAATTTAAGCTCCTTTAGCTCCTTTAGCCCCTTTAGCAAATTTAAGGTCCTTTAGCTCCTTTAGGACCTTTAGCTAATTTAAGGTCCTTTAGCTCCTTTAGCCCCTTTAGCAAATTTAAGCTCCTTTAGCTCCTTTAGCCCCTTTAGCTAATTTAAGGTCCTTTAGCTCCTTTAGCCCCTTTAGCTAATTTAAGATCATTTAGCTCCTTTAGCACCTTTAGCTAATTTAAGATCCTTTAGCTCCTTTAGTTAATTATTTCTCCTTTAGTTAATTTTAGCTTCCTTTGGCTCCTTTAGCACCTTTAGATAATTTTATCTCCTTTTTGGCTAATAAGGACCTTTAGCTAATATAAGCACCTTTTAGCTCCTTTGGTTAATTTTAGCTCTCTTTAGCTCATTTAAGCTCCTTTAGCTAATTTTAACTCCTTTTAGCTGCTTATATTTCTTTCAGCTCCTCTAGTTAATTTGAGCTCCTTTAGCTAATTTTAGCTCCTTTTATCTCCCTTTATTTCCTTCTGCTCCTTTAGTTAATTTTAGCTCTGTTAGCTCCTTTAGCGGATTTTAGCTCCTTCAGTTCCTTTAGCTCCAAAGCTATCAGGGCCATCAGGAAAACCTGGAACATCAGGCCAGGTCCTCCAAAGTTTCTGCTGATGGACAATTCAACCTAAAGGTGATGAAGTTAGTCAACGAGTATCACTTTCTTACAGGAGGCTGGCAAAATCCACCCTGCTGCTGATCCCTCTGTTTGGGATCCACTACGTGGTTTTTGTGTCTCTCGGCGAGTCCATCGCAGAAGATTATAAAATATTTTTCGATCTTGCCCTCGGATCCTTTCAGGTGTGTGAATTTATTTATTTTGTGTGAATCCTTGTTGTTTCTGATGCATGAATCTGTGGATTGAACAACTTAAATAACTTCCTTTTCTGAATTAATGGAATGCAGATGTCTTTTTATTTCCCTCTTCAGGGTCTGGTGGTGGCCATTCTCTACTGTTTCCTCAACAGCGAGGTGAGTTCTGGCACCACATCCCATCAGTCAGTCCACAGCAGGGGTCAAAGGTCACAGGAGGCCCTTTTATTTAAAAAAACAAAAGGAAAAATGACTTATCTGAACACCCCGGCTTTAATGGGTGAGGGGGCCTGTCTTTATGGGCTATGACCCAAACATGGCCGCCAGTTTGGGAAGGTGGTCATGTAGCATATCAAAAAAGACCAGAATTGTGTCATAAATCGAATTCTGCAAACAGATTTTAAATATTCCCTTTGGTTAAAAGGTTATCAGCAAAGAAACCACCTGTGACATCGACTGCCAGCCATTTTCAGAACAGAGTCCCATACTGCCAGAGTTTTTTTTAGCATTTTGACTGATTTTTCAAGAGCCACAGAATAGTTTGTGCTATGACTATGTAAACACCGAACACACCAAAAGAAAGAGTAGACTCTCTTCTTTCATCAACTGAGTCATTTTCATTCACACTTTGCCTGCTGATAGGCCCTCCACATTCCCAAATGTACACAATCAAACGATTAAAAACTCGGTTCTGCATAATACGTCCCTTTTAAACTGAACAGGGCTTTTTGTAGCAGAGGGTCTTCTGTTCGTGGCGATATTCTGCCTGTGATATTCTGTGAGTGTGTCTCTGTTCTGAGCACAGGTTCAGGGGGAGCTGAAGAGGAAGTGGCAGAGCGTGTGTCTGAACTGCCACCTGGGCAGAAACCCCCACCTGAGCGGCGCCTTCACCTCCAGGAACGGCTCCGAACAGACCATGAACTCCCACCACCGGGGCTCCAGGGCCCAGTCTATCCTCCAGTCGGAGACCACTGTGCTGTAAACCCCCCCACCAGCTCCACGAAACACTGAAGTGGCTCCAAAGCGTCCCATGCTAACAGAACTGATTTTATTTAAATGTTTTAACGGCTGCTTTTGGGCTGAGAAGAGAATCTGGACTCCATCC